ATGATCCATTCGTCATCGAAAGCGACCCTTGAATTGTGATCATCACTGCGAACAGTGAAATGCCTCAACTAGTCTCGGGGCTTTGTCAGGAGGGTCTCGCCTGGAGTAATTGACGAGTAGCTTGTTCCGTGTTTCCATATTCGAGAAATGTAAAATACAGCCATTCGTACGGCATGGCCATCAACCTACTTTCACTACTGACAACCAGTGGTGCCGGGTTGTTGTAGTATCATCAAAAGGTAGCTACATTCGAGGCACCTGGTTTCAAATCGGTCGTCAGCCAGGACGCGCCGCTCCATCAACCGCTGGGCCTGGCTGATGGAGCGGAGTGGCGTGAGATCTCACTGCGCAGAAAGCGATCTCGTCCTCACGCACACGCAGCGACACGAAACAACCCCCAGCTCGTCTCCCCTCGCCCATCGTCATCGTCATCCTCCTGCGACTCCCGCCCCCCAGCTAGGAAGAGGCCTAACCCAACTCCTATCACTACCCCTACCACTACCCCTAGCACTACCCCTACCCCAACCTCTAGCACTACCCCTACCACTACCCCTATCACTACCCCAACCCCAACCCCTATCACTACCCCAACCCCTATCACTACCCCAACCCCTATCACTACCCCTACCACTACCCCTACCCCAACTCCTATCACTACCCCTATCACTACCCCTACCACTACCCCTAGCACTACCCCTACCCCAACCTCTAGCACTACCCCTACCACTACCCCTATCACTACCCCAACCCCAACCCCTATCACTACCCCAACCCCTATCACTACCCCAACCCCTATCACTACCCCTACCACTACCCCTACCCCAACTCCTATCACTACCCCTATCACTACCCCTACCACTACCCCTAGCACTACCCCTACCCCAACCTCTAGCACTACCCCTACCACTACCCCTATCACTACCCCAACCCCAACCCCTATCACTACCCCAACCCCTATCACTACCCCAACCCCTATCACTACCCCTATCACTACCCCAACCCCTACCCCAACCCCAATCACAACCCCTACCCCAACCCCTACCCCAACCCCTATCACTACCCATAACACTACCACTACACCTATCTGTTACTATTTTGAATATATTTTGTTTGACCAGGTAAAGCCCATTGAGCTGTATAGCTCTCTTTAAGAGACGACCTGGCCACAAATGATAGCTCAACGAAGTGGCTTATCACTACCCCAACCCCTATCACGACCCCTATCACGACCACAACCCCTCCATAACCAGCTACAGCACCACTTTTAATAACAACCCCACCCCCTATGCCAACCACTATCATCGTATGTACAGGTTTATAATTATTGTAAAGCCGCGCCGTGGATTGAGACTCTGCGAGGTAAGTCTGTAGACAACAAGACGCTTGTTCCCTTGGGAGCAAAGAACATGTATTGAAGAGTCGTCGTCCCTACAGGCGAATGAACATTCGGGCCCACCAGGACACATGTGTGACCAACACCTCCTCTCCCCTTGGGATCACGAACATTGCTATTGGATTTGTTTTTATGTGTTCTCATCGATTTAGGGAAATATGTTTGACTCCCTCGCCTGGTATGGAGGAGGTCGTGGGTGCGATCTCGAGTCTGATGACGCCTGCTGTATATTTGGAGCTTGCCGTGTCTCTCTCCCCGTGGTCGCGTGGATTTTTCTCCAGGTCCTGCAGGTTTTCCCTCCACATTTAACATCAATGTTACGCGTTCAGAATATTTGGCTGCCATGCATGTCCGCGTGATACATTCCTTCGTTGAGCTATCACTTGTGATGACCAGGTCGTTCTGAAAAAGAGCTGTATAGTTCAGTGGGCCTTACAATGGTAAAAAAAATACATTTCAAATATGCCCCTTTTCTCTGCCTCGGACCTTGAGAAGTTTCTAGATTGGCCTCGGTGGGAAACACAAAAACTCGGCGCTTCATGAATGCCCCCTAAGAGTGAGATCCCCTCCCACCCTCCACCACCACCAACCCCCCCAGCACCCCCTTAAATCCCAACCCAGGACTTGGCCTCAAATGCGGCCACCAGAAACTACCTGACTGGCTTTCCCATTCGGTCACGACCCAGCACATCAAACGGGGCGCAAAACGACGTGACACCCACCTCCTGGACAAAGTCAGTCTCCCTCGGCACTGCGACTCGGAGCGTTGGGGCCTCTGTGATCTCTCTCTCTCTCGAGACGAGACGAGCAGTCCGGGCGAAATCCCCTGGAGCTCGCCTCGCGTTGTTACCAGACCCGCCAAGTGGGTCTCAACCTTGTTTGCCTACTTGTGTGTGTACATAACTAAATGTATGAATAATGAACGTAAATACAGGGGGTGCTTCCAAAACGTGTTAACACTTAGATGTGACAATCGTTTTTAATGGAAAAAGAACGGATAATGCACTCTAACGTGATAACAAATATAATGTTAATAGCTTCAAAGAGTCTGTCTCCACTTGTTCTCCATCATTGTCAACACGTGGCCTGGAATCTTCTCCAGGTGGTCTCCAGAGCTCCGGAGGCACTTTTCTTGTGATGTTGTTGCAATTCTCAGAAGTGTTAAAACATTATTTTAATCACCCTTTATTTCAACCAATTGTCGTTTCGGTCAACGGCCTTCTTCACTTACAGGGCCCTCGCCTGAAACGTCGCCTAATGTACCTTTTATTTTCTACCTACGTGACTTTACTGAAAGAACCAGAGTATGGATTCCTGCAGTCACGAAAGCTTCAAATCAAGATTGTACCCTTTCCCGTCGTCACTCCGACAGATATAGAACATCAAACGATCTGCAATCATTCTTAAAGCATGTTTGGCTGCCGGGTGGTGGAGGCTCTTACGACACAGATTTGGCCAGGTCATTACGCGTCCTAACCCAAACTCGGTTACGAATTTCCCAATATTAGCCGCGTAAACCTAAACCTTAATCCTAAACATGCGGATTTTTTGTGTGAACGCCATGCGTCGATGATTAAATCACCCGGTGGGTGGGTGAGTGGGGGGTCGGTGGGGAGGTGGGTGGGGGTTTTGGGGGTGGTTGGGTGGGTTGGTTGTGGGGGTGGGTAGGAGGTGGGTGAGTGGGGGGTCCTCCCAGAAATCAAGTGGTGGACGCTGCGCGATCATCTTTCTCGGCGCGGCGAGCTGCACGCAGGAGGCGTCCATCAACCCCTCATCCCCTGACCTCCCCAACTCTCCGGATACCGCAATAGGGACGACTCGTGTCCGATGCGAGTGCGTTACGTGTGCTGCGGCGTGGGTGTTGCGGCGTGGGTGCTGCGGCGTGGGTGCTGCGGCGTGGGTGCTGCGGCGTGGGTGCTGCGGCGTGGGTGCTGCCGTGTGGGTGTTTGCGTGTGTGTCCTTCTCCACAATCATCAGCTGAGACCATTCAAGCGGTGCCACGCGAGAGCGGTCTTTAGCCTAACACCCCCCCCCCCCCACGCGGGTTATGCCCCCAGGCTCTGAGCCCAGGATCTAAGAGGGTGTTGCTGGTGGCTTCGTGCTCCGCTTTCATGGCCACCTCCCTGTGTGGAAGTCGTCTTCGTCTTTCCGAAACGCTCGACGCTTTGAGGCGTGTTCGCCTCCCACCCAACGTCTTCGTCTGGTGCTCTTCGCGCGTGTTCAAGTGTGTATGTGTGTGTGTGTGTTGAACTTCTTTCGCACCGTACGTAGCCCACCACGCTCATCGGAGGTGCAGGGGGAAGGACAACAAAATGAATGCAAAAAGCGGCTCTAAAGAAATTCGTTTTCAAATCTCGATCATTTAAAAGCGCACAGCTCCAGTGGCTCCCTAATATCGGAAGGAAGAGCGTTCCAGACGGCCGCGAAAGCGCATCTCAATGCGTTCGATGTGATCCAAAAGCCACTGCAAGGATGAGCGGAGTTCGCGCGATGATGGTTTATGCTCCTTTACGAGATTAGCGAGGCATTGTGGTCCATTTGTGGCGAGCACTTTGTGTGCAATGAGTGCGGCAGTGGCGTAGTGACTGCGTCACAGTGACGTAGTGACTGCGTCACCAGTGACGTAGTGACTGCGTCGTCAGTGACGTAGTGACTGCGTCGTCAGTGACGTAGTGACTGCGTTGTCAGTGACGTAGTGACTGTGTTACCAGTGGCGTAGTGACTGTGTACCAGTGGTGTAGTGACTGCGTTGTCAGTGACGTAGTGACTGCGTTGTCAGTGACGTAGTGACTGCGTTGCCAGTGACGTAGTGACTGCGTTGTCAGTGACGTAGTGACTGTGTACCAGTGGTGTAGTGACTGCGTTGTCAGTGACGTAGTGACTGCGTTGTCAGTGACGTAGTGACTGTGTACCAGTGGTGTAGTGACTGTGTACCAGTGGTGTAGTGACTGCGTTATCAGCTCAGGGGGTGCGTCAGTCGGTCAGGCGGAGGGCCCCAACATTCGATGTGTCTCTTGGCGCGCTCGCACCGAGGAGACTTTTAGAGATCGTGGCTCCACGTCGCCGTGACGCTCACGGTCTCGGATATTTAACGCTGTTGGGGGCGCTCCGTCGTCGCAACATGCAGCCTCTACAGCCTCCGCAGTATAGTGGCTCTTTGCAATATCGCGTTGCTGTTATAATTAAACTAAAACGTGGAACGTAAATTAAAGCATTTTTGTAAAAACAAATTTTAACCACGTCTTAAATAAGTCGGCGTTCTTTCACACCGTGGTAGCAAACAAAGCTCACGGTGGGTGTCAAAGGGGGCCCCAACTCGCAGCTCTGTCCATCCGGGGGGGATGGGGGCCACGATTACCACGGTTGGCTACGTACGGTGCGAAAGAAAATCAACGTACGTACACATATACATATATATACACGAGAGAGAGAGACCGGACAGAGTTCACGGATGAAAGGCACCCAGGTCGGGTATTGAACCCTGGGGCCTTGCTCTCGCCCTGGGGGGGCAGCGTGCCCACCGCACCGCTCCCCAAACAGCGCAGAGAGCTCGGGGTACTTACACGGAAGCAAGCCAGCACGAGCTTTATTTACTAGCAATAACAACAACAACAATAACGGCGATTGTAACACCAACATCAACATAAGCAATTGCAACAACATCAATTGCGTCGAATAAGTAATTAACACAATCACGTGATCATGATACGTGGGATGACGTTGCCGACAGCGGTTTAGAATATCCATGCAATGGGACACCATGTGGAGGTGAAGACCAAACGTCACCTCACATTGATGATGCTGATGATGCTGATGAGGGTGGTGGTGCTGGTGGGATGCATGCTGATGATCTGGTTAAAAATTGAACTTTTTTGCCAGTATCAAAGTATGAAAAAATAAGAATATGTTTAACCCTTTATGGCAATAAAACAGTGGATGTTAAGATGTCCAAGTCTGCATTAACCGCAAGTGCTTGTGGTGAGTATGCACACACACATGCTCTGATGGTAATAAATGACCACAGCAGAGACAGCCGCCTTCTTCAGGGCCTCGTCTCACCACCGGTGTCAGACCAGAGACCAACGCCAAAAGGCAAACAGAGTTGACCAATCGGTTTCAAAGGCAATGCACACATTCATCCGAACATGCATTGCATCTTGACTTCAAGCTTTCGTGACTGCAGGAATTCATGTTCTTTGGGTCTTTCGGTAAAGCCACGTAGATATACAAATAATAAAATTTTATTTATATTATTTTTCTATCTAAAATAATACACTTTTTTCTACGTGGCTTTACCGAAAGACTCAAATAACTTGTGTTGCGTGTTCACCACATGTACCGTGTGTGGTTAATGCAGTACTTGATTTGGTGTTTTAACATCTTAACACAACTCCTGTTTAATTGGCAGAAAGTTTAAAACCTATTCTTATTTTTTCATATGATTATCCGGTCATTTCTGCTCAGTCTGAGAAGTAGTTGTTCGACCCTGCTGCTGCTGCTGCTGCTGCTGCTGCTGCTGCTGCTGCTGCTGCTGCTGCTGCTGCTGCTGCTGCTGCTGCTGCTGCTGCTGCTGCTGCTGCTGCTGCTGCTGCTGCTGCTGCTGCTGACCCAGCAGTGTGATGGTAAGCGATGGGGGGGGGGGGGGGGGGGGATGGCATCAGCCTAACAAACACAAAGCACCTGCCTGAGAATTTTATATCATAAAAAACTTCACTTCTCCATTCACCGTGAGCGGTGGGGCAGTTGTTGACAACGTTGACCAGTTTCTGTAGCTGGGGAGCGCGCTGATGATGAGCTGCGTTTGGGTAGCAGAGGTCTCACTCCAAATCAGTGGAGCAGTGGAAACTACCAGGCCTGTCGCTCCATTTGAAACTCCGGGTCTTCTCGACCACACGTATGCCCTCCCTTGTTCTATACTTGTGAACGGTGGAGCCCTTTAAAGGAACATCTGTGCCGGTTTGAAACATTTAGGCTGACCTGCTTACGACCCATCCTAGGTTTAATCGACTGGATTGTGTGAGGAGCTCACAGACCCTTGAAAGATCTGGACGCAGTCCTATTGGTGAGTTCCTGCGGTCACCGCATGTTCATGGAGCTTCTGTTTGGCTGGATATAAGGAGCAAAACGGACACGGCACATATCAGATGGGCTGATGTGGCACAAGAGGATATGGAACTGAGTGGACTTGCCGATGACTGGTACCAGCGGTGTCAAGATCGGCCTCTATGGAGGAGGCTCGTGAAGGGCGCGACTCACAACAATGAGCGGAGTACCAAGCGGCTAAAACGCAGCAGGTTGGCACAGTGGGGGAGCACAGTAGGTGCTTCTGTTTGTCGTCTCAGTCAACCCATGGCACCTGGGTCTGTCCTATGACCTCCTACCAGCAGGAAGCCTTCTACACTTCACGTGGCCTCAACATGCACCTAGCATGGCACAAGCGCCGTGGTGACATTACCGTTGCTTTGTCTCCCCAGTGGCGATGTTTACACAACGCACCAGGTGTTTATTTGAGGCTGATTCGATCTAGGGGATGCCCAGGACCGGTTCAGATATTCGTCACCGGTGTTGGCGGAAATCGAACTCGGGTCACGCGGTGGCTTGGAGATGTTAACTACCTCACCTGGTGCGCAAGAGGTCGTGGGTTCGATCCCGACCCTGACGCCTGCTGTATATGTGGAGTCTGCGTGTCTCTCTCTCATCATCACGGTGACTAGGAGATGTTAACTACCTCGCCTGGTGCGCAGGAGGTCGTGGGTTCGATCCCGACCCTGACGCCTGCTATATATGTGGAGTTTGCGTGTCTCTCATCATCACGGTGGCTTGGAGATGCTAACTACCTCGCCTGGTGCGCAGGAGGTCGTGGGTTCGATACCGACCCTGACGCCTGCTGCTGTATATGTGGAGTCTGAGTGTCTCTCTCCCCGTGACCGCGTGGATTTTATCTCCGGGTCCTCCGGTTTTTTTTCACTCCACATTTAGAATCAACATCAGGCGTTCGGAGAGTGTTTGTCCGCTATAAATGTCCAACACGGTGATAATCCCACGTCGTTGAGCTATCATCGGCGATAGCCAGGTCGCTCACCGACAAAGAGCTGCACGGAGAGCTTTGCCTGATCTAAAAAGAAGTTCACAGTCTAGTTTGTGAGTAACCGCTGCGCCACTGCTCCCCAGCGAGGGCGGCGGCGCGCGCGCGGCCCCGTCACACGCAGCAGCAGAGCGTGTAGCAGCTCAACTTGTCCGGCTGCTGGTTGCCCTGCGCGACGCTGCTACTGCTGGTGCGCGGCAGCAGGATGACGCACGCCGCAGACAGGCAGCAGTGGAAGAAGCTGTGCACGTACGGGTAGTCCCACTCCTGCACGCCCACGCACGCACGCACGCACCCACCCACCCTGTGTGAGTCTACTGGTCTCTGTGTGAGGAGTATGTGGGTCTCTGTGTGAGTCTACGGGTCTCTGTGTGAGTCTATGGGTCTTTGTGTGAGTCTGTGGGTCTCTGTGTGAGTCTACGGGTCTCTGTGTGAGTCTACGGGTTTCTGTGTGAGTCTACGGGTCTCTGTGTGATGAGTCTACGGGTCTCTGTGTGATGAGTCTACGGGTCTCTGTGTGATGAGTCTACGGGTCTCTGTGTGATGAGTCTACGGGTTACTGTGTGATGAGTCTACGGGTCTCTGTGTGATGCGTCTATGGGTCTCTGTGTGATGAGTCTACGGGTCTCTGCGTGAGGAGTCTACGGAGCCCTCGTTTCACCTCTGCCCGCTCAGCCCGCGGCGCCAGACACAACACGCGCCCCCCCTCCAGCCCCCCACCCCCACCAGCCCCCCCTCCACCGGCGTAATTAACGACGCAACGCTGCCGCCGCTCGCGAGCCCCTCCGTAATTGCTCGATCGTTCCCCCTCCCTCCCCAGCCTGCCCGGGTGGGTGGGGGGATGTGGGGGGTCGGTGGGGGGGTCGGTGGGGGGTAGTCCTCCGCATCGCGTGTGGAGCTCCGCGCGTGCCGTCTCGGGAGCTTCGTCATCGTCTTCGTCGTATTCGTCGTCGTCATCGTCGCTGTCGATGTGGCGCGCGAGCGCTGCCGAGTGGGCGGGCGCCTCGCGGTCGGCCTCCCGCTCGGAGCCGCGGTGGGGCCGGGCACCTGTTTCGGATTTCGCAGATCGCCTAATTATTGCGCGGCGCTCTCAACCTGAACCAACAACGACGCCGACGCCGCCGCAATTTGGTTGCCGGCACCGAGTTGATGGCGTGAGCTGTAACAATAAAGCGTCGCTGGCGATTACTGAAAGGTAAAGGCGCGGACCAGGCAACGGCTGTTGGCTGCCGGTTGACGGGCAGGGGACGGGGGGGTGCTCCGCTACCACGCAGCCCAAGAGTTCGCTCCATCAGGGGTTGCTTTTGGCCTACTCATCCACCATGGTCAGTGTCTCGGATGAACTCTGACCCTGACGACGCCTGCTGCTGTATCGTTGTAGTTTGTGTGTTTCTCTCTCTCCCCGTGGTCGCGTGGATTGTTCTCCGTGTCCTCCCGGTTTTTCCCTTCACATTTAAAATCAACGTCGCGCGTTTCGAGTATTTGGCTGCTATACATTTCCACTTGATAAGCCACTTGGTTGAGCTATCATTTGTGGCCAATTCGCTTCTAAAAAACTGCAGCTCAGTCGGCTTTACCTGGTCAAATAAAAACACATTTAAATAAATTGTAAGTGAAAGTGCACACCACTCTACCCAGCACGCAGGCGACCTGCCAATCAACGGTGGTGTGCAGTTCTCATTTTACCCTCCCCTGAAAAAATGATGATGATGATGTTGGTAATGGGGGTTGATTGATAATGGTGTTGATGCTGCTGATAATTATGATCGTGATTTTTATGATGATGATGATAATAATAATATAATCATGATGGTAGTGGTGGTGGTGATAATTCTGCTGCTGTTGCAGCTAATGTTGATCCACGTGCTGCCTCTGCTGATGATAATGTGGCGGTAATGATGTTGTTGCTGCTGGTAATGATTATCCTGCTGATGCTGATGATGACGATCATGATGGTAGTGGCCGTCATAATGCCAAGTCCTATCGATGAGCTCTTCCCGCAGGCAAGGTTGCGTTGGCTGGGTCATGTAGCCCGCATGCCCAGCTACCGCATGCCTAAACATATTTTCTTTGGCCGCATGGAGGGGGCTAAACGGGCCCGGCACGGGCTAGAGAAGAGATGCAGTGATGTGGTACAAGATGATGTGGAGCAACAGCGGGGGGCAGAGGAGCGACGCTCACAACGACGAGCGGAGCGCCGGGTGGCTAAAGCACAGCAAGTTGGCACCGTAGGGGGCACAGGTGGTGCATCAGCCAGTCATCTCAGTCAGTCAACCTATGGCACCTGGGTCTGTTCCGTGACCTCCTGCCAGCGGGCGTTCGACACTTGACGTGGCCTCAACGTGCACATGGCCTGGCACAAGCGTCGTGGTGACGTCACCGGCAATTACTGGCGAATAGCGGTTGTTGTTGGTGGTGATAATGCTGCTGATGCCGCTGATGATGATGTTGATATTTCTGGCGACATAGCACTGTACTTGAGTTCTGTCAGAAAATTGTGGAACATTGCGCTGGGCAGTATTGGGCACGGCACACCCATCTGACCTTGTTCTATCCTCCGCTGGGCAGTATTGGGCACGACACACCCATCTGACCTTGTTCTATCCTCATGTTACTTATAGCAATAGAGGGTACAATCATGTACGATTATTATGGACAGCATTACCTTGTACTCTGCTGATAGAGCCTCATGCTGATTGAAAATACCCACTCCAAGCCAGTCGAGTATGTACATACGTTGAAACTTATTTTGCACCGTACTTAGCCAACCGTGCTAATCGGAGGTGTGGGGGAAGGACAACAACCTAAACACAAAGAGCTGTTCTAAGGAAATTAGTTTTCAATTTAGATTATTTAAAAGTGCACGGCTCCAGTGGCCTCACAATATCGGAAGGGAAGAGCGTTCCAGACGGCCGCGGAAGCTTGTCTGAAAGCGCTGCGCGATGCAGTGACCACCACCTCTGTGCCAAGAGCTGCCGCTGCTGCTGCTGCTGCTGTGAGGATGACGACCGGAGGAGTTCACGTGATGATGATGGTATGTGCGTTCCCGAAAATGTCAGGTGAGCAATTATGTCCCGAATATCGTGAGCATTATGCCATGGCAATGATGGTAATGGTGGCGATCATGTTGGGCAAGCATCCCGATATAGGTCCACAGAGCTTAAATTACTGGCGAAACGTCGTACTCAGAGTGTAAATGTTGTCGCGCACCTGGAAATAGAAGCGCAGAGTGAAGGCGAGCACGAGGAAGCAGATCCCCGGGCCCAGGTGGTGCGTGTAGACCTTGCGGGAAGGGAGGAACGCCCTCAGCTCGATCATCTTCCTCGTCTGATGGAGACAAGACAAAGGCAAGAGATGTCCCCACCTACCCCTGTGCGTAGCCTTGTCAGAGTGTAGGGGCAAGAGCTGTTCGCGAACGCCTATGAAGGCCGGCACGGCGCACGAGGGGGAGGGTGGCCAGCACCACGACCGACCGCATCAGGGTACTTATTTGAGGCCGAGTCGACCTAGGGGATGCCCGGTTCAGATAACCTCGATTCGCCAGGTTCGTGGCACAGCACGCACTCACACACTCACCCACTCACTCACTCGCACACTCACCCACTCACCCACTCACTCACCCACTCAATCACACACTCACCCACACACTCACCCACACACGCACTCACTCACTCACACACTCACCCACCTACCCACACACGCTCCCACTCACCACACACCGACACACTCACTAACTCATCCACCCACCCACGCTAACTCACCCACCCACTCACACTAACTCACCCACCCACCCACACTAACTCACCCGCCCACACTAACTCACCCACCCACACTAACCCACCCACACTAACTCACCCACTCACACTAACCCACCCACCCACACTAACCCACCCACCCACACTAACTCACCCACCCACTCACAGACCCACCCAGCCCTGCCCACCCAGCCCTGCCATGGCTGGCTGGCCCCGGGCTCCCCGCGGGCCTCCTCACGTGTTTGAGTGCCAGCAGCAGCAGGGCGGCCACGATGGGCCCCGCGTAGACGCCCGTGCCCCAGCTGTCCTCGCTGACGCGCACGGCGATGCCCAGCACGCCCGCCATCACCACGGCGAGCCGCTGCGGCTCCTCGAATTCTCCTAGGGCTGGCGCGTGCCCATCGTCATCATCATCAGCAGCAACATCATCAGCAGCATCATCATCATCATCAGCAGCAGCAGCAGCAACATCAGAAGCAGCATCATCAGCAGCAACATCATCAGCAGCAGCAGCAACAGCAACATCAGCAGCAGCAGCAGCAACATTATTATCATTATCATCAGCAGCAACATCATCATTATCATCATCAGCAGCAGCAGCAGCATCATCAGCAGCAGCATCATTATCATCATAATCAGCAGCAACATCATTATCATCAGCAACATCATCATTATCATCAGCAACATCGTCATCATCAGTAACATCATTATCATCATCATCATCATGAGCAACATTGTCAGTATCATCATCATCATCAGCAGCGCTGTCCGGTCACTGTTAGCAGCTGGATTGTCATCATCATCATCATCATCAATATGATCATCATCATCATGATCAATAGCAGTACTGTAGTGACTATCATCATCAGCTGCATCATGTCAGCATCAGCTGCAGCATTTGCCATTGTTATCAACGTCATCATCAGCATCAACATCATCATCATCAGCAACATCATCATCATCAGCAGCAGCATTTTTGTCCATCGTCATCACAATCATTGTGGTCATTATCAGCAACAATATCATTGTAAATTATAATCAGCAGCATCATTATTATCATTATTTCTAGCAGCAGCAACAACAGAAGCCGCATAAGCAGGTTCATCCTAGTAATGGCATCATCACCATCCCCGATCTCAGCATCAGCATCATCATTGTCACGATCGTACAACTTGTGCCAATGCAGAGGGTTTACATTCTAGTTACATCAGCACCCCGCGTGGCCACCTGCTTTCTCACCAAGTCAGGTAACTCATTTGGGGCCGAGTCGACTTAGGGGAAGGCCAGAACCCGGTCTGAAGTCGTCCGTGGCCGAGGGTTCAAATTCAGGTCGCCGAGTTCATAGGCATCATAGCAAAGACAAAGATCCCCCGTGTAGCCTCGAACAATGTGTTTGGGGCAAGTGCCTTTAGCAAGCACCTGTGAAGGCCGGCTCGGCATGCGATGGTGCTGGGTGAGTAGCACCTTGAAAACGATTAAACTAGAAACTATGTTTAATGTTACCAGGTAAGGCGCAGCGAGCTATGTGGCTATTTTTTCAGAAGCGACCTGGCCACCAACGATCGCGCCACGAGGTGGGCTTAGCACGCGGCAACGTGCAGCAGCCAAAGACTCGAAACGCGTGACGTTGACGTTGACGCTGAATCTGGAGGAAGAAAATCCACGCGACCACGGGGAGAGAGAGAGACACGCAGACTTCAAATACACAGCAGCAGGCGTCGGGGTCCGGATCGAACCCACGACCTCCTGTGTCCCAGGCGAGGTAGTAAACATATCCTAGCCACCGTGGCGCCCTCGTCACCCCAGTGGTCACATCGCCACACCGCGCCCAGGCGCTCATTCTTGAGGCCGAGGCGATGGAGGAGAGGCTCAGGACCAGTTCAGGGGTGGCTATGAGATGTTAACTACCTCGCCTGGTGTACAGGAGGTCGTGGGTTCGATCCCGACCCTGACGTCTGCTGCTGTATATGTGGTGTTTGCGTCTCTCTCTCCCCGTGGTCGCGTGGATTTTTCTCCGGGTCCTCTGGATTTTCCCTCCACATTTAGAATCACCATCACCACGCGTTTAGAGTCTTTGGCTGCTACCACAAATGTCCGCACGATACTGACAACAAGCACACTTTGTTGAGCGATCTTTTGTAATGGCCAGGTCGCTTCTGGAACTAAGAAAGCTGTACGGCTCAGTGGGCCTTACCTGATGAAAATAAACATTATTAAGTTTTAGTGTGGGTCTCGTTCGCTGAGAGAGGGCGAGAAGGCGGTGGGGGGCCGGGTAGGGGGGGGGGGCGAGGGGGCAGGGAGGGGGGGAGCCGAGGGGGGGAGCCGGGAGGGGCGGGGGAGCCCACCAATGAGCGTGACCCAGATGGAGAGCGCGATGCCGTACACGCTGAAGTACTCGAGCAGCTCGGAGCGCATGATGCATATGGAGAGGAAGCCCAGTCCGTCGCAGACGTGGTAGCACTGGGGGGGGGGGGGGCACAGCAGGGCAAACGCTGTGTTTAGTTTGTTGTCCCCCCCCCGCACAGCCGACTAGCACCGTATACTACACTACACTATACACTACACTTTACACTACACTTTACACTACACTCTACACACACTACACTATACACTACACACACTACACTATACACACTACACTCTACACACACTACACTATACACTACACACACTACACTATACACACTACACTCTACACACACTACACTATACACTACACACACTACACTATACACACTACACTATACACACACTACACTATACACTACACACACTACACTATACACACTACACTATACACACACTACACTATACACTACACACACTACACTATACACACTACACTATACACACACTACACTATACACTACACACACTACACTATACACACTACACTCTACACACACTACACTATACACTACACACTCTACACTATACACACTACACTCTACACACACTACACTATACACTACACACACTACACTACACACACTACACTATACACTATACTCTGGACCCTGCCACTGCCAGGTAGGCGGGTAGGTGGGTGGGTGGAAGGGTGTCTACGTGGGTGGGAAGGTGGATGGGTAGATAGGTAGGTGGGTGGGTAGGTGCGTGGGGAGGTGGGTGGGTAGGTGGGTGGGTAGGTGGATGGGTAGGTGGGTGGGTAGGTGGGTGGGGAGGTGGGTGGGTAGCTGGGTAGGTGGGTGGGTAGGTGGGTGGGTAGGTGGATGGGTAGGTGGGTGTGTAGGTGGGTGGGTAGGTGGGTGGGTAGGTGTGTAGGTGGGTGGGTAGGTGGCCCGCACCGTGATGAAGAACATGGTGAAGAAGTAGACCATGGCCTCGATGTGGAAGCGGCGCTTGGCGGCGATGCTGACGGTGGGCAGGAACGCGAGGCCGCTGATCGTGGGCAGAAACATCTTGACCAGGATGGAGCCCATCTGGTCGTGCCACGCGGACCATACACCGCGTCCTCAAGTGTCGTCTGCCTTGCCGCCCCCGTGTTTCAGTTCGCTCACTCAAATTAGCGACGAAAATATTCGTCAACGGACCGTTTTGTGTTTTTTAAAATGTATTTCTAAAACTGTACCCTCCTAAAACGAAGAGAGAGAAGATGCGACGTTACGGGCAATGCCCCTTCTCCATAGCAGATAGACCGACGGCTGTTTCACAAAAGGTTGTTTCTCGTAACAGCTGTTTTCCTCTTTAGGCCAGTGCTGTTGGTGAATGCGTTGAGCTATTGTCACTTTTCCTCGTGCAAACCTCGGAAGACGCCGCTGGTGGAACCATCCACGGCATCGCAACATCGACGGACCGATGCGCACATCGCCTGCTCGAACAGAACATTTCTAAAGATGCAGGCCACGGCCCTGCTACTGCGGCCCTACAACCCCAACCACAGACCGTCGAGTCAGCCCACGGAGACCCACGGAGATTCTTTGGGGACAAGTCACACGTGGAGGGAGGGGGGCAGTAGTGAGGGTGGGACCGGCTGTCCACACACACACCACGCCACCTCCCGTGATCACGGTCGGCTACGAACAAGAGTTGTTAAAGAATGCGCGTGGTGTTCCTATTTGACTCCGTGGCTCCCGTCATAGGAAAGTGGAATTTCCACCACCGCCTCAGGGCCACTAGCAGAGTTACGCGCGGCGTGGAGATCTGCAGTTGAATCGGTTGGAAGTCCGATTAGCACGGTTGGCTATGTACGGAGCGAAAGAAGTTCAACATACAGACACACTACACTATACACTACACTATACACTACACTATACACTACAATATACACTACACTATACACTACACTATACACTACAATACACTACTATACTACTATACCCTACACCACTATACTACATTGAAAACTAATTTCTTTGGAACTGCTTTTTGTGTTAAGTTTGTTGTATTTCCACCGCACTTCCGATTGGCTACAGTAGGTTACGTACGGTGCGAAAGAAATTATTCATATATTCAACACTATACACGACCATACACTCCACCATACACCACACTGCATATGCTACACTATACACTACACTCCACCATTATACTAAACATACATTCGTGCTCTGGAACAAGAGGCGGCTGCCCACAGTGAGTATTTCTCTGCTGTGGGGAAGAATTCGCGGTGATTGGTGTCGGCTGTATTCGCTCTGCGCTGTCACGGTTGCAATCTGGACACTCGAATAAAACTGTAAAACTATAAACTTGTTTTTTATTTCGCCAAGTAAGGCCCACTGGGCTATATTGATATTTTCTTTCAGAAGCGACCTGGCCTCAAACGATCGCGCAACGAAGTGGCTTATCACGTGGATATGTTTATCAGCCAAATACTCGAAACGCCCGCACAGACGTTGCCGTTATCACCCTCGGTGGGAGCGCTCAGACGCCAACTCTCTCCCAGATCACATTCGCGTCCTTTATAATCACAGTCGAGCGGCTTATTACGGCACAAAGCCTCGTCGCTCGATGAACTTTGTGTCGTGTCCCGAGCCCTGCCTCGCGACTGCACGCCCCAAGTTGTAGCTTCAGTCCGCTCAGTGCTGAATCAGAAACACTGAGCCTGCTCATGGTGTTGGTGAATGTTAAAACACGATCTAAATAAATAATGCATTCTTAACATATTTGCGTCTCCACGTTTTACACAAACCCCTCGGTTCTACAAACATCGGGCAATTTGCCAGCATTGGGTTCGTTGCAAACCATCACTCGATTGATCACGAGGCCCAGAATGTCAACACCGAATGTGTCGAACCCAATGATCGCGATAAGATTTGCTTCCAAGAGGCCGTGTGGCCTACGGGTAATGTTCAAACACAATACCCAAGTCGGGTTTAGTGTTGCACATCGCGAGAGACAAATATGCAAAGGAGGGTGGCATTACAGTTCGTAAAAACGTTGTTTGGGTTAGATCGCTGTAAGTATAAATGTTGAGTCGTAACCCTCCACCACCCGACGCAGCCAGCAAGGTTTTGCCACGAAGCGCGTCAATGGGTGTGCTACTTCAATCCCTCCGGTGTTCATAGTCTTTGGGTCTTTCGGTAGAGCCACGTAAACAGAAAAAATAACCAAAAATATCAACGTTTCAACCGCTTGTGTTGCGATCGAAACGTCGATATTTTTGCTTATTTTTTCAGTCTACGTGGTTTTACCGAAAGACCCACACAATATGACTTCCTGCAGTCACGAAAGCTTTAAGTCCAGGTCCCACCGGTGTGTTGGAGAGTGAATCCACGATGCTGACAATTTGAGTACCCTGACGTTTCTCCGGTCATCACATCGCCCAGCATCTCCGGGCCATTTGCCAGACTAGGTGTTGGGTGGTGGAGGGTTACGACACAACATTAATACTAACCCAAACCCCCACGTCATGAATACTATTGGTCGAGAAAGCCTACGTGTTAAAGAGGAATTACAGTATTTAGAAAAAACAAATTGTTGTAAAATCTCTTTGATAGGAGTCTTACCTTGGTGAGGAACCACGTGCCAGGAGACTGCGTGGTGGTGAATGGTGATGGTGGTGGTGGTGAATGGTGATGGTGGTGGTGGTGAATGGTGATGGTGGTGGTGGTGAATGGTGATGGTGGTGGTGGTGAATGGTGATGGTGGTGGTGGTGATGGTATGGGGTGTGGTGATGGTGATGGTGTGGTGGTGACTGGGAATGGATGTGTGATGTGGTGTGTGACGGGGTGTGGTGACAGGTGGCCGGGCCGTGGCAGCTGTTGCTCGTGGGACAGCTGCCTATGCACGCACCCCGCCTGTGACAGCCCCCCCCCCCCAAACTCGACTGTGTGCGTGGGGGGGGACAGCCACCGAACCAGTTCTCCCCTAGGTCGACTCAGCCTCAAACGAGTACCTGGTGCGGTGTGTGGTAAGCATCATCGCTCGGGAGACAAAGGCGTCCGGGCGTGATGCTGGCCAACCCACGCCGTCGTGTATACACTGCACTGTACACACTAAGTAGAACTTATTTCGCACCGTACGTAGCCAACCGTGCTAATCGGACTTCTAACTCCAGGTTTTTATGCTGTGCGTAACTCTACTGGTGACACTGAGACGGTGGTGCAGATTCCACGTTCCTATGACGGGAGCCATGGAGTCAACGAGGGACACCACACGCGTTAGTGCAACTCTCGTTCAGACGCAATGCAGTTGGTATTCCGCGGGCGTTCACAGCGGATACATGAGCGCGTGCAGTTTCAATTTCCCGTCACTCACCACCGCTGGGTGAGAATTGTTTGACCATACTTCACCACTCTGGTCGCCGGGGCTGGGTGGTGAGGGAGAGGCCTGGGGAAGGGTCAGAAATCAATCGGCACGCGAATCAAATTTGGGCTTCCAGAGTTCACAGCGCAGGGTCGTGGATCCACAGCAGCCTCCCACGAGTGGCGAGGAGGAGAGAGGAGGAGGAGTGAGGAGGAGAAGGAGGTGGAGGAGGAGGGAGGAGGAGGAGGGAGGAGGAGGGAGGAGGAGAAGGAGGTGGAGGAGGAGAAGAAGGAGGAGGAAGGAGGAGGAAGAGGGAGGAGGGAGGAGGAGGAGGGAGGAGGAGGGAGAAGGAGGAAGAAGGAGGAGGGGGAGGAGGATGAGGAGGTGGAGGAGGAGGAGGAGGGGGAAGGAGGAGGAGGAAGGAGGAGGGATGAGAGAGGAGGAGGGAGGAGGTAGAGGAGGAGGGGCAAGAGGAGGAGCAGGAGGAGGAGGAGCAGGCGGCCTTCACCCAGCAGTGGATCTTCACTCGCCGCCGCCGCCGGCGAGGAAGCCGCCGCTGCGCCAAACGCCGCGAGCCTCTCGCGGCAGCGCTCACGAGGAGCGCTCTCAGCTGCAGCTCGCTCGCGTCTCGAGTCGCCTCGCTTGGTCCACGGGTCACGGGAGGGAGGGGGGAGGGAGGGGGGAGGGGGGAGCGGGGGGGTCTCCGCCCTCGCTCCAACTCACCTCGCGGTCAACGTCGCAGGCGCTGCCACGTTGACATCCCCTGACCCAAGCCGAACCGTCGGAGAGTATCAGCAAATCATGAATGGTGTTTCATCATTCATTCATGATTGTTGTTGTTGTTGGTGTTGTTGTTATTGTTGTTGTTATTGTTGTTGTTGTTGTTGTTATTGTTGTTGTTATTGTTGTTGTTATTGTTGTTGTTGTTGGTGTTGTTGTTATTGTTGTTGTTATTGTTGTTGTTATTGTTGTTGTTATTGTTGTTGTTATTGTTGTTGTTGTAATCGTAAAACCGGCGAGGAGGCTCAGCGGCGAGCGGCTCGCGATGGCGAAGGGTTCAGGGTTCGATTCCGGACAGATTAGTGCCCCCCTGTCATAGTAATGTGGAGTTTCCCCCACTGTTGGTCGGTCGGTGGGCATGGATGGATGAGTGGGTGGGTAGGGATGGGTAGGTGGGTGGGTAGGGATGAGTGGGTGGGTGAGTAGGGATGGGTGGGTGGGTGGGTCGGGATGGGTAAGTGGGTGGGTAGGGATGGGTGGGTAGGGATGAGTGGGTGGGTGAGTAGGGATGGGTAGGTGGGTGGGTAGGGATGAGTGGGTGGGTGAGTAGGGATGGGTGGGTGGGTGGGTCGGGATGGGTAAGTGGGTGGGTAGGGATGGGTGGGTAGGGATGAGTGGGTGGGTGAGTAGGGATGGGTAGGTGGGTGGGTAGGGATGAGTGGGTGGGTGAGTAGGGATGGGTGGGTGGGTGGGTCGGGATGGGTAAGTGGGTGGGTAGGGATGGGTGGGTAGGGATGAGTGGGTGGGTGAGTAGGGATGGGTAGGTGGGTGGGTAGGGATGGGTAGGTGGGTGGGTAGGGATGGGTAGGTGGGTGGGTAGGGATGGGTAGGTGGGTGAGTAGGGATGGGTAGGTGGGTGAGTAGGGATGAGTTGGTGGGTGGGTAGGGATGGGTAGGTGGGTGGGTAGGGATGGGTGGGTGGGTGGGTCGGGATGGGTAAGTGGGTGGGTAGGGATGTGTAGGTGGGTGGGTAGGGATGGGTGGGTAGGGATGAGTGGGTGGGTAGGGATGGGTAGGTGGGTGGGTAGGGATGGGTAGGTGGGTGGGGATGGGTAGGTGGGTGGGTAGGGATGAGTGGGTGGGTAGGGATGAGTAGGTGGGTGGGTAGGGATGAGTTGGTGGGTGGGTAGGGATGGGTGGGTGGGTGGGTCGGGATGGGTAAGTGGGTGGGTAGGGATGTGTAGGTGGGTGGGTAGGGATGGGTAGGTGGGTGGGTAGGGATGGGTAGGTGGGTGGGGATGGGTAGGTGGGTGGGTAGGGATGAGTGGGTGGGTAGGGATGAGTAGGTGGGTGGGTAGGGATGAGTTGGTGGGTGGGTAGGGATGGGTGGGTGGGTGGGTGGGTCGGGATGGGTAAGTGGGTGGGTAGGGATGTGTAGGTGGGTGGGTAGGGATGGGTGGGTAGGGATGAGTGGGTGGGTAGGGATGGGTAGGTGGGTGGGTAGGGATGGGTAGGTGGGTGGGTAGGGATGGGTAGGTGGGTGGGGATGGGTAGGTGGGTGGGTAGGGATGAGTGGGTGGGTAGGGATGAGTAGGTGGGTGGGTAGGGATGAGTTGGTGGGTGGGTAGGGATGGGTGGGTGGGTGGGTCGGGATGGGTAAGTGGGTGGGTAGGGATGTGTAGGTGGGTGGGTAGGGATGGGTGGGTAGGGATGAGTGGGTGGGTAGGGATGGGTAGGTGGGTGGGTAGGGATGGGTAGGTGGGTGGGTAGGGATGGGTAGGTAGGTGGGGATGGGTAGGTGGGTGGGTAGGGATGAGTGGGTGGGTAGGGATGAGTAGGTGGGTGGGTAGGGATGAGTGGGTGGGTGAGTAGGGATGGGTAGGTGGGTGGGTAGGGATGGGTAGGTGGGTGAGTAGGGATGAGTTGGTGGGTGGGTAGGGATGGGTAGGTGGGTGGGTAGGGATGGGTAGGTGGGTGGGTCGGGATGGGTAAGTGGGTGGGTAGGGATGTGTAGGTGGGTGGGTAGGGATGGGTGGGTAGGGATGAGTGGGTGGGTAGGGATGGGTAGGTGGGTGGGTAGGGATGGGTAGGTGGGTGGGTAGGGATGGGTAGGTGGGTGGGGATGGGTAGGTGGGTGGGTAGGGATGAGTGGGTGGGTAGGGATGAGTAGGTGGGTGGGTAGGGATGAGTTGGTGGGTGGGTAGGGATGGGTGGGTGGGTGGGTCGGGATGGGTAAGTGGGTGGGTAGGGATGTGTAGGTGGGTGGGTAGGGATGGGTGGGTAGGGATGGGTAGGTGGGTGGGTAGGGATGGGTAGGTGGGTGGGTAGGGATGGGTAGGTGGGTGGGGATGGGTAGGTGGGTGGGTAGGGATGAGTGGGTGGGTAGGGATGAGTAGGTGGGTGGGTAGGGATGAGTGGGTGGGTGAGTAGGGATGGGTAGGTGGGTGGGTAGGGATGGGTAGGTGGGTGAGTAGGGATGAGTTGGTGGGTGGGTAGGGATGGGTAGGTGGGTGGGTAGGGATGGGTGGGTGGGTGGGTCGGGATGGGTAAGTGGGTGGGTAGGGATGTGTAGGTGGGTGGGTAGGGATGGGTGGGTAGGGATGAGTGGGTGGGTAGGGATGGGTAGGTGGGTGGGTAGGGATGGGTAGGTGGGTGGGGATGGGTAGGTGGGTGGGTAGGGATGAGTGGGTGGGTAGGGATGAGTAGGTGGGTGGGTAGGGATGAGTGAGTGGGTGAGTAGGGATGGGTAGGTGGGTGGGTAGGGATGGGTAGGTGGGTGAGTAGGGATGAGTTGGTGGGTGGGTAGGGATGGGTAGGTTGGTGGGTAGGGATGGGTGGGTGGGTGGGTCGGGATGGGTAAGTGGGTGGGTAGGGAAGTGTAGGTGGGTGGGTAGGGATGGGTGGGTAGGGATGAGTGGGTGGGTAGGGATGGGTAGGTGGGTGAGTAGGGATGAGTAGGTGGGTGGGTAGGGATGATTGGGTGGGTGGGTAGAGATTGCCCACTCTCGCCCGGAGTTGGCACCACGAGGGAGCGGGGGGGGGGGGGTCCCCCTCGCCTGCCCCGTTGCTGCAGACCGACAGACGAGGGCTGGCAGCTGCTCCCCCCCCTCCCCTCGGCCTCCACGCGAGGTGGGGGGGGCGAGGTGGGGGGGGGGCGAGGTGGGGGGGGAAGGGGGCCTGGGCGCCCTGGCAGCAGCAGCAGCAGCTGTCGAGGGCCTCCTCGCGGGCCCCGCTCGCGCTGGGCGGAATCTTCCAGCGCGCCTCGCGACGTCAGCTGCTCGACTCTCCCCACAACACCGGGGCCCGGTCAGGGTCTTAAACTTTCTTGAATACTACAGTGTGGAAGAGTAGGCCAAACTCCCGTCCAGAGAAACTATATTGAACTTCCCCGAGCAGAGGCCCCTTATGCCAGCAGTGGCGTCAGCACGACATTTCAGGGCTGCACCGTTACCCTTGTTAGAGGGCAGCCCGTCCTGTGGATGGGGGTGAAGTGACACGTGGCAATTACCTGTCCCTCGTCAGACATCTGTGAAAAAGAGCTTCACAGTTCATCGGATTCCCCCAGTAGAAACAAACATTCCCATTCAGATTCTGAACTCCTCTGATCCTAACAACTCACCCGTTGTATAGCGCAGTGGGAAGGAAGCCCACTGAGATTCAACAGGAGTAGAGTAGATGAGAGGAG